CATGCTCCAAAAAAAGTTATTATGCATAATAATGATACGTTCATTAACGTCATGACTCGTACAAAAACCAAAACACCACCACCACCACCACCATCTTACAAGAGAAGTCAGAGGTCCAGAGATAATTGGTTTAGAGTACTTATCCATATATCCACTTTTGAATTCTCTCTCCCAAATTTTGTTGGTATATATGAATAAATAAATAACAAAACAAGAGGCGTCTCTACGGTGGGCGTTGTTATAGAATACTATGGTAGTAAGACCACATGTTATATTGATACTATTCCTTAAAAGGAGGAAAAATAAACTATATCGTCTACCTATATTATAACATGTGTACACTATAATTTGTCATAGAGTGGAGTCTTATCTTATCTCCAATCCTTGTCTAAAGAAGAGACAAAAGAGCAGCTTAGTCCATTACGTGATAAGGCCTTCTTTTTTCCGTTTTCTTTGTTTTTTTCATTTAATAAAAAGTGGTAAGGAGTTTTCAATATCGATCAATCAAAGGAGACCTAGAAAAGAAAGTCCTTGTAATTGGGGTTTATTATAAGACTATTATGAAATAATTAGTGGTTCATATATCACATGCATTCACCGATTCACGACATGGAATAGACGCGAAACCTCTTTAAAATTTGAATGAATGGTTTTCATATGACCATTGGGGCAGATTGTTGCAATGCCATTCAAGAAGCTGACGATGATTGTGCCTCAACCGTGACGATAATTATTATATATTTGTTTAGTTTTTTATTATTATTTATAGAATGAATATTTTATTTCGTCAGATTTTATTATTATTAGAAGAATAGACAAGATACCTGCCACAAAATAAAAATAAAAGACTGGATGAACAATTTGGATATTTTATTTCCGTTCCAGTCAACACTTAGCGAGTATCCCGTCCTCGGTGACCTCCACCCAGAAAGAGCCAAACAAACAATGCTTATTTATCCTATCAGATAACCTAACCTAGCCACTAATTAAGCTCATGAGCAACCAATTAAGTGAAAATAATCGCAACCAACCACAAATAAGTATTGAACTCACGACAAATAAGAGCGTTGAACTTGTATTTATACGAGTTTGATTCCCATTTGACAATTAAATATAACTTAGAAAATAAAAAACCATTAGGTATGGTATGTAACAACTGTCAAATTCACTAAAAAACTAAAATGAAAAATTGTAATTATATATATATATATATGCCTTGCACATTGCATACAGCCTGCCTGAGCACCATATAGACTTTTGTTTTCTGAGTCTGAGTTTTAACAAGCAAGCATCTAGCTAGCTTGTGTGTATAATGGTGGACGAGGTTGTTCTTTTGGACTTCTGGCCAAGCATGTTTGGGATGAGGGTGAGAGTTGCGCTGGCTGAGAAGGGTGTCAAGTATGAGTACAAAGAGGAGGATTTGCTCAACAAGAGCCCACTACTTCTGCAGATGAACCCGGTTCACAAGAAAATCCCGGTTCTCATCCACAACGGCAAACCCGTCTGCGAGTCAGCCAACATTGTGCAATACATTGATGAGGCTTGGAAGGACATATCTCCTTTGCTTCCCTCTGATCCTTACCAGAGAGCTCAGGCCAGGTTTTGGGTTGATTACATTGATAAGAATGTAAGTTCTTTTGCCTTAATTTTGTCTAATTAATTAATTTAGTATATATATTTTGTGAAGTTTCAATCTAATATGACATGAGACGAGATCTTGTTAGTTCAATGTTCAATAACAAGATTTCAGCTGATCACTAATTCAAAATTTTCAGTTTTCTTGCATAACCTAACATGCTAGTGCACACAAAAGAAGATTAAAATTGTTTGATGCAATATTATTGTGTTGCAGTTATACGAGGTTGGGAAGAATATATGGGCCACAAAAGGAGAAGAACAAGAGGCAGCCAAGAAGAAATTGATTGAAATCCTTAAGCTGTTGGAAGGGCAGCTTGGGGACAATACTTATTTTGGGGGTGAGATATTTGGGTTCTTGGACGTTGCCCTAGTCACATTCTACTGTTGGTTTTTCTCCTATGAGACATGTGGGAACTTCAGCATAGAGGCAGAGTGCCCTAAACTGATTGAATGGGCCAAGAGGTGCATGCAGAAGGATAGTGTGGCCACATCTCTTCCTGACCCAAAAAAGGTGTATGAGTTTACTCTTCTGCTGAAGAAGATGTTTGGTAAGGAATAGAGCAAGAAAAATTGAGATATGTTCTCAGTTGTGTTGTACTTCTGTTTGTTCTCTTTCTTTCAGGTTGTGTTCTTAGTATGTATGAGATTCTGGTGAACAATTTTGGTGTGTCTACAGAACTCAAAAGGATGTGTATCAAGGCAAACACTTTGATGTGTCTGTCAATGTCTGATTGTGAATAAAAAGGGTGTATTCTAAACTAAATATTTTTCGCTGCTTGTATGTGAAAAAGTAGAGAGTTTTTGGGATTGGAGTGCCTGATCATTTTAGGGGAAGAGCTTTAGCCATCAACTAGAATTAATCCAATTTGTTATGCCCTAATTCAAGAGCCCAACCGACTCTCCGATTACCCCAACCATTTCAGTGGCCGAACTCCAAAACCCCCCACCTTTTTTTTTCTTTCTATCTTTTCTTTTCTTCCACCTTTTTCTCCACCGCTTCTTTCTCTATGTGATCTTTCGTCTTCTTCTTCTTCTTTCTTTTCTTTCTTCCTCCTCTTTCTCTTTTTGATTCTTTCTCTCTCCCCTATGTTTCTCTCTACCTCACGAGTCACGAGCACACACACACGCACACTTGCAGATGTGAGGTCAGATTTGATAGATCTTGAAGATCTTCATGCATCATCTCTGAATATTATATATATATATATATATAATGCACATGAGCAACAAATTATATATTTTGTTTAGTTTTTTTATAGAATGAATATTTTATGTAGTCAAATTTTATTATTATTATTAGAAGATACCTGCCAAAAACTAAAAATAAAAGACTGGATGAACAACACCTCAGTTTCCGTTCCAGTCAACACTTGGCGAGTATCCCGTCCTCGCACTACTAAAAAATTGGGTAAAACCACAATCCAAAGGTCACCCAAAAAAGATAAAAAAAGGGGATAATGTCGTTTTAAATAAATAAATAAATAATAATATATATATATATATATATTGGACACATATATGCAGTATTTGTATCATATGCAGAGAAGACACATAGTTTCGTGTCCAATTTAAACAGAAGAAGAAAATTATGTGCTTAATTAATTTAGGCACAACTTTTGTGCCCAATGGTTATATGTATATACTTTTGTATATAAAAAATCTCATTATAAAGCACAGATACAAGTTTGTGTGCCTTTGTATTGCACACATTCCAAAGTATGGTGCTATAGAGCACGAATACAAAAAATTGTGTCCCTTTAAGTCACATCATGTCCCATAAACTAAGAAGTTGTGTTGAAATTTTAAAAAGGGTTCAAAAATTTAACTGTTTTGATTTATTTAATTATTTTGGCTGTTTTATGTTATTTATGGTGGGAGTTATGAATATTTAATTTTTAGGTTTTATTTCTATATTGAATGCCTTAATTTTCTAATTTAATGTGGTGAAAGTTACATGTTATTGGATGCCTATAAAAGATCAATCCTCCTTCACATTTGAAAACTCACAATACACCATCAAAATATCACATACCACAATCATCACCACAATCTAATTCTCATTCTCTACTTTTATATATATTCTCCACTTTCTATTAGTATTTGTGGGCAATGGTTATGTGAATTGGAAACAAATCCGTCTATGAACATGCTCATAGCGGATCTTGAGTTTGTGTATTAGGGTCGTATCTTGGAGTCTTGTAGACTATTAGTACTTGCACGTAAGGAGACTACAAAGGCTTTAGGATAGTGTCTTTGACGTGCTTCACTGTACCAAGCTCACCTTCTTACTTATAATTTATTTTGCTTTTACTTACCTATCAATTTGTTTTTCTTCATTTCATTATACCTTAATAGCTTTTCAGATTGTTGCAATGCCATTCAAGAGGCTGACGATGATTGTGCCTCAACCGTGATGATGATTATATATTTGTTTAGTCCTTATTTATTTATTTATAGAATGAATACTTTATTTCGTCAGATTTTATTATTATTAGAAGAATAGACAAGATACCTGCCACAAAATAAAAATAAAAGACTGGATGAACAATTTGAATATTTTATTTCCGTTCCAGTCAACACTTAGCGAGTATCCCGTCCTCGGTGACCTCCACCCAGAAAGAGCCAAACAAACAATGCTCACTTATCCTATCAGATAACCTAACATAACCACTAATTAAGCTCATGAGCAACCAGTGAAAATAATCGCAACCACTACAAATAAGTATCGAACTTACGACAAATAAGAACGTCAAATTTGTATTTATACGAGTTTGATTATCATTGACAATTAAATATAACTTATATATATATATATATATATATACAGAGAGCTTCCATTGAGAGATCCCTCAAATAAGCTTATTTGAGGGACACCCATTGTAGGCCCCACTATGGATTATATTTCACTAATCCAAACCGTCTATTTTGTAGATACTCATTCAAAGATCATCTCTACAAAAAATCACTTGAATCCGATATCATTTGACCACTCAATTGAGTTATTGAAATTTTAGTACTTCTTGAAGCACCGTGTTCATTGATTTTGTAAGACAATTGGAGGTCAAAACGATTTCCGATTTGTCTAATTTTTTGTAAGGATGATCTATGAATGAAGACCTAAAAAATATATGGTTTGAATCATTGGAAAAAAAATTGTATGGTACCCTAAAGGGCGTCCCTCAAATAAAATTATTTGAGGGATCCCTCAATAGAAGGGGACTGATATATATATATATATATATATTATATATATATATGTATGCCTTGCACATTGCATACAGCCTGCTGAGCACCATATAGCCTTGTGTTTCTGAGTCTGAGTTTTAACAAGCAAGCAGCTAGCTAGCTTAATTGTGTGTATAATGGCGGACGAGGTTGTTCTTTTGGACTTCTGGTCAAGCATGTTTGGGATGAGGGTGAGAGTTGCGCTGGCTGAGAAGGGTGTCAAGTATGAGTACAGAGAGGAGGATTTGCTCAACAACAAGAGCCCACTACTTCTGCAGATGAACCCGGTTCACAAGAAAATCCCGGTTCTCATCCACAACGGCAAACCGGTCTGTGAGTCAGCCAACATTGTGCAATACATTGATGAGGTTTGGAAGGACAAAGCTCCTTTGCTTCCCTCTGATCCTTACCAGAGAGCTCAGGCCAGGTTTTGGGTTGATTACATTGATAAGAATGTAAGTTCTTTGGCCTTAATTTTGTCCAATTAATTAATTTAGTATACATATTTTGTGAACTTTCAATCTAATATGACATGAGACGAGATCTTGTTAGTTCAATGTTCAATAACAAGATTTCAGCTGATCAATAGTTCAAATTCACAATTTCTTGCGTAACCTAACGTGCTAGTGCACACAAAAGAAAATTAAAATTGTTTGATGCAATATTTTTGTGTTGCAGTTATACGAGGTTGGGAAGAATATATGCGCCACAGAAGGAGAAGAACAAGAGGCAGCCAAGAAGAAATTGATTGAAATCCTTAAGCTGTTGGAAGGGCAGCTTGGAGACAATACTTATTTTGGGGGTGAGATATTTGGGTTCTTGGACGTTGCCCTAGTCACATTCTACTGCCGGTTTTTTTCGTATGAGACATATGGGAACTTTAGCATAGAGGCAGCGTGCCCTAAACTGATTGAATGGGCCAAGAGGTGCATGCAGAAGGAGAGTGTGGCCAAATCTCTTGCTGACCCAAAAAAGGTGTATGAGTTTACTCTTCTGCTGAAGAAGAGATTTGGTAAGGAACACAGCAAGAAAAATTGAGACATGTTCTCAGTCGTGTTGTACTTCTGTTTGTTCTCTTTCTTTCAGCTTGTGTTCGTAGTAAGTATGATATTCTGGCAAACACTTCTGGTGTGTCTACGTAACTCAAAAGGATGTGCATCAAAACAAACACTTTGACGTGTCTGTCAATGTCTGATTATGAATAAAAAGGGTGTCTTCTAAACTAAATTTTTTTCCATGGCCATGTGAAAAAGTAGAGAGCTTTTGGGATTGGAGTGCCTGGTCATTTTAGGCGAAGAGTTCAGCCATCAAATTAGGGAAGACTAGGAGATATATTGTGCGAAAGTGTGAAGTATGAGACTAATATTATCAAGCAAAGGGAAAATATGACAACTAGAATTAAACCGGTAAAACTATGAATCAAGCCGGACCAAGATAAAAAGAACTGAAAAAATCAAGTTGACTAAATGAAGTCAAATTTGGGTCTCAAAAACCGTACTCAACTGAACCGATTTGACTAGTTTCGATATCAGTTTTACCTTGGAAGAGCCGGTCCAAAACTGGAGTGGCTGTTTTTATGTTTTTTTTCCTTTCTATGAATCCAATTTGTTATGCCCTAATTCAAGAGCCCGACCGACTCTCCGATTACCCCAACCATTTCAGTGGCCCGACTCCAGAACCACCCACCTTTTTTTTTCCTTTCTATCTTTTCTTTTTCTTCCACCTTTTCTCCACCACTTTCTTTCTCTATGTGATCCTTTCGTCTTTTTCTTCTTCTTTCTTTTCTTTCTTCCTCCTCTTTCTCTCCCCTATGTTTCTCTCTTCCTCACGAGTCACGAGCACACACACACACGCACACGTGCAGATGTGAGGTCAGATTTGATAGATCTTGAAGATCTTCATGCATCATATCTGAAGATTATATATATATAATGCACATGAGCAACAAATTATATCTTTTGTTTAGTTTTTTTATAGAATGAATATTTTATGTAGTCAAATTTTATTATTATTATTAGAAGACACCTGCCAAAAACTAAAAATAAAAGACTGGATGAACAACACCTCAGTTTCCTTTCCAGTCAACACTTGGCGAGTATCCCGTCCTCGCACTACTAAAAAAATTGGGTAAAACCACAATCCAAAGGCCATAAAAATAAATAAATAAATAAATAAAAAAGAGAAAAAAAAAGAGGGTAATGTCGTTTAAAATATATATATATGACACATATATGTAGTATTTATCATATGCAGAGAAGAGACAATAGTTTTATGTCCAATTTAAACAGAAGAAGAAATTATTGTGCTTAATTAATTTAGGCACAACTTTCGTGGCCTATAGAGCACAAATAGACAACTTTTGTGCCTAGTGATTATATGTACAAAAAAAATCTCATTATCTATATAAAGCACGGATACTAAGGGGGGTGTATTCAATTAAGATTTTAAAAGACTATTTATGGATAAATAAGTCCAGTGGATTTTAAAAGACTATTTAAGAATGTAATTACTTATAAGATTTTTTTGAAAGATTTTTTATACTCAGGATTTTTTATGTTTGGATTTTAAAGATTTATATCATAAGAATTTATAAGATTTGAAAGGACCACATGGATTTTTATTTGTACGATAACCAACCAACTTAGTTGTGGGCACTTGCATCAGCAATAACATAAACGGGATCAAATGGAATGGAACAATAAATAAAAGCAAACATTCAAAGTTACAAGAGTCAATGAAAAAGATAACAAAGAAACACAATTTTAACAAAGAAAAGTAAAATTCAATAAAGTTTTCCCAATCTTTTAATAGCCAATTTGATGTAGCTTCATGTCCTCCTAAGTAGCATTTCTCCACATATCTAAAGCTATGGTAGCTCTCCATGCATTAGCATTTTCTTGTTGCTGCTCTTGGGTTTGAACAATAGGTTCCAAATTCTCTTCTTCATTAACTGGTAATACTGAAGATGAAGAAGATTCGTCCAATGGTTTAATTGGAAATTCATCAGAACGACACTCTTTGCGAAGAAAGTTATGTAGTGCTACACATGCTAACACAAGCCCTGCTTGTGTCTTAAATGGAAATGGAGGCGCTGACTTAAAAATTGTGAACCGTGATTTAAAAATGCCAAATATCCTCTCGATCACATTCCTCAATGACGCATGGCGAAGATTGAACAATTCATTTTCATTTTGAGGGTCATTACCATGACCTGTAAAATCTTGGAGATGATATCGCACACCTCGAAATGGAGCTAAAAATTGGCGCCGATTAGGAAATCCACAATCCACTAGAAAATATTTACCTAATTATATATACAATACATATAAAATTAGTATGCAAAGTTAAAAAAAATATATTTATCATTTAAAATAAGTACTTACCTTGGGGCACTTTAAGTCCATTCCTCCTTGATAAAGCATCATTTAGTAGCTTTGAATCATGAGCTGAACCCTCCCACCCGCTAAGAACGTATATGAATTCCAAATCAAAGTTACAAGCAGCTAATACATTTTGTGATATCTTTCCATGACGATTACGATAACTGCTTACATCTCGTCCCCTCACCATTGCCGGAATATGTGTACCATCAATAGCTCCAATGCAATCCTAAAATTATTCATACATCACAATAACCATATTATGACAAATATATATTATAATAACAATATTATTATAATTAGATAATTATCACATACCTTGAAATAAGGGTAAAACCTTGTGCTTTCCCTTATTTTAGATGGCACAGCCGGTCCTGGTTTAGCCATCCAATCAGATGCTATTGAATTCAAGGCCTTCAAAATCTTGTGAAAATTTTCACTTGCAGTGAATTGTGATAGACCAAATGTATTACGAATGACACAATATCGAGTATTTGGCCGACGATTTGTAGGAATGATGCAAACATTTCTTCAACGCAAATAAATCTTGTATCCTCCAAAAGTGTTTTTTCTCTAAGAATTGTGCATAACTTTCGGAATACATCTAGACACATTCTATTTAAAAGTCTTAATTGAATACCACAAGACTTATTTATCCCAAAATAGTCTTTTAAAATCCTAATTGAATACACTCCCCTAAGTTTGTGTGCCTTTGTATTGCACACATTCCAAAGTATGGTGTCTATAGAGCATGAATACTGCAATTGTGTCTCTTTAGGTTGCCTATAGAGCACGAATACGAAAAAATTGTGTCTCTTTAAGTCACATAATGTCGCATAAACTAAGAAGTTGTGTTGGAATTTTAAAAAGGGTTTAAAAATTTAACCGTTTTGATTTATTTAATTATTTTGGCTGTTTTATGTTATTTATGGTGGGGGTTATAAATATTTAATTTTTAGGTTTTATTTATATATTGAATGCTTTAATTTTCTAATTTAATATGGTGAAGATTACATGTTATTTGATGCCTATAAAAGACCACTCCTCCTTCACATTTGAACAATCACAATACACCATCAGAATATCACATACCACAATCTAATTCTCTCCTTCTCTACTTATATATATATATATATATATATATATATATATTCTCCACTTTCTAATAGTATTGTGGGCAATGGTTATGTGAATTGGAAACATATCCGTCTGTGGTGGTGGTGGTGGTGGCGGCGGTGGTTGTGGAGGTAGTGAATGTGGTGGTGTAAGTGGTGGAGTTGGATGTTGAAGTGGAGGTGATATCATTTTTAAAATGAATGATGGTATTTTGAGAATTAAAAAAATTCATTAAAAATTCATCTCTGCTTCTTTTGAAAGCAGCTTTAAAAAACAACCCAAAGCATGCTTTTAAAATCTGCTGTCAAAAGGCCATTGCTTTTAAATAATCGGGATATTTTATTTTTATCAAACACCTTAACTGCTTAACTTTAAAGTGAAACAGGTTTTTGGCCAAAAAAAGCAATCCCAAACGGGGCCTAAGACCTATTATCTGATTTTGTTTTTAATTGTAATGTTTTTAATATATAAAATGTGAATTTACCATATTATCCTCATTTAATTAATAATTTTAATTTTAATGTTTGAATTAACCAAGGGTATTTTCTGATATTTTGAATGTTTCACCATTCTCTGCCCTTTTGCTTTATATATATAGATTAAAAACAAAGTATAACAAAGTGCTCAGTTCTATTAACCCCTCAATAATAATTTCATGACTAAGTGCCCGTTTGGCATTGCTTATTTGGGGTAATAAATGATTTTTTTAAAATTTTGAGAAGCACAACCTGTTTGGTAAACTGTGAGAAAATCACTTATTGTTAAAAATTGCTGTGAGAGAAAGCTACAAGGGAAAGCAGCTAATGAGGTGCTTTCATTTTCTGATTATGCAGGAATCAGTTTCAAAGATGCGCTGGGTTTAATGATTATGCGGCAATCATTTTTGATTATGCGTAAAATCAATATCAACAACACTTTTAACAAAAATTTTACCAAACGCCAAACTGCTTTCTCTCACAGCTGATTTCTCTCACAGCAAATCTGACAGCGATTATTTTCACAGCACAGCAATGCCAAACTGGCCATAATGTTTAAAACAGTTAGATAATAAGGCATGGAAAACTTTAAACCGTGCCTAAAGCTCTCACTCCTCGCTCTGGCGCTCTCTCTCTCTCTCTCTCTCTCTCTCTCTCTCTCTCTCTCTCTGCATCTGGGATTGAAGTCCAATGTGATTTGGTTTTTTTTTTTTTTTTTTTTTTTTTTTGTTTGTTTTTGGATTTGATTTGGTTTATTGTTTTTAAATTGTCTCTTGCATATTGATTTTGGCTTGGGTTTCCTTACTCTCTGTCTCCTAGCTCTCTCATCCACAAGGTAAGAATTAATTGTAGCTTCTGTGGGTAGTGTCTGCCTATATAAGTTTTGACATATTTGTTCGGTTCTGATTTTAGGTTGGGACTTCCTTTTGGTTGCTGAAAAAAGTGTCAGGACATCCCTGTTTTATTTTTGCGCAGTTTCTTGGTTGGATTTTTGAACCTTCAATATCTAAACCCTTGCAACATACCAAATAACAGGACAGAACCAAAATAATAAACTGAACTAGTTTCAGGTTACAACCATCCTTCAGACGTCAGATCCAATGGATACTCACCTTGTAAATTTGAATTAGTTTCAGGTTACAAAATAATTTGAATTTTGATATTGCGTTAACTTGTAAATTTGATTAATAAACATATTTGAATTTTGACAAAGATCAATTTTTGTGCTTTACAAAGGTGGATACTCATGACAAATTTGTGACCTATAACCAATGGAAACTGCTATATAGGAAACCGACAATTTGAAAGTGGCTGCAGGGTAGTTATTGGCATGGAGCACAAATATCTGTGGTTTTTCTGCATTGAGGAGCACTAATAAAAATTGTGTCCAAACCCAATCATTGTACTAGTGTCGGTAACCCGCACCCAGAAAGAGCCCAACAAACAGTGCTTATTTATCCTATCAGACCAAGTGAAAATAATGGCAACCAATCATAAATAAGTATCGAACTCACGATGAATAAGAGTGTCGATATACAAGTTTGATTTCCATTTGACAATTAAATATAACTTAGAAGATAAAAAACCATTTAGGTATGGTATGTAACAACTGTTAAATTCACAAAACCAAAATTAAAAATTGTATATATATATGCCTTGCACATTGCGTACAGCCTGCCTGAGCACTATATATATAGCCTTTTGTTTTCTGAGTCTCTGAGTTTTAGCAAGCAGCTAGCTAGCTTGTGTGTATAATGGCGGACGAGGTTGTTCTTTTGGACTTCTGGCCATGCATGTTTGGGATGAGGGTGACAGTTGTGCTGGCTGAGAAGGGTGTCAAGTATGAGTACAGAGAGGATGACTTCACTTTCCCATGAGCCAGACAACGATTTCCCATACTTAGACTTACCAAACATGGAAAAACAATTGATTTTCCATTTCCAAGTCTTCTTTCCCATGAACCAAACGGGGCCTTGGTGTGTCTACGTAACGCAAGGGGATGTGTATCAAGACAAACACGTTGATGTGTCTGTCAATGTCTGATCGATCATTTTAGGGAAAGAGCTTCAGCCATCAAATTAGAGAAGGCTAGGAGATGATATTGTGCGAAAGTTCAGTATGAGACTAATATCAAGCAAAGGTAAAATATGACCAATATAAGTCACTAAAATCAAGTGGTGGGCCCTTCGAGTGAGTGGCTTGTAATTTAAGCTCAAAAACAACAGATCCAAGAGTATAAGAGGAATGAATGGACCAAATTACCCTAACAACATCTGTAACGTACCACATGGCTACATTTGACATATGTGGTTTATTGGTAGAAGATTTTTCAATGGTACCTGTCACGATATTACGTGGTTGGTATGACGAGTTTTTATATGTAATGGTTTATTGGTAGAAGATATACTTGAATAGAGTAAGCCTCGCATCATGGAATATTCCACATGTAGCTAGCTGCAAGTTGCAACCTCGAAAGCACTGACATCTCCCAGAAGCTTCGGTTGCAAAAAACGACACGTTCAAGCAAACGACATACACCACATCACAACCCCTCCCAAAATCAGCCACTACAATTTTTAAGCACATGCAAACATATCAAACACCTTCACATATATATATATATATATATATATATCCTCTTCTCGGCTCAGTGTAGTAGTGTCAAGCTAGAGCTAGAGATAGAGCTAGAAGAAGCTTGTTTCTGTGTCAACAATGGCTGACGAGGTTATTCTTTTGGACTTCTGGGCAAGCATGTTTGGGATGAGGGCCAGAGTGGCCCTGGCTGAGAAGGGTGTCAAGTATGAGTATAGAGAGGAGGACTTGAGGAACAAGAGCCCACTGCTTCTGCAGATGAACCCGGTTCACAAGAAGATTCCGGTTCTCATCCACAACGGCAAACCGGTCTGCGAGTCTCTCATCATTGTGCAGTATGTTGATGAGGTTTGGAGGGACAAAGCTCCTCTGCTTCCCTCCGATCCTTACCTGAGAGCTCGCTCCAGGTTCTGGGCTGATTTCATTGATAAGAAGGTAAGTAGCTTGGAAACATTTTAACTAATCCCAATTGAATTTTCTAGCAATTTCTGATGGAATGATTCTTAAAATTGCAGCTATATGATGCTGGAAGGAAAATATGGGCCACAAAAGGGGAGGAACAAGAGGCAGGCAAGAAGGAGTTCATTGAAGTCCTTAAGAAGTTGGAAGGAGAGCTTGGAAACAAGCCTTATTTTGAGGGTGAGAGCTTTGGGTTCCTGGACATTGCTCTCATCACATTCTACAGCTGGTTCTATGCATTTGAGACTTGTGGAAACTTCAGCACAGAGGCAGAGTGTCCCAAGCTAATTGCATGGGCCAAGAGGTGCATGCAGAAGGAGAGTGTGTCCAAAACTCTTCCTGACAAAAACAAGATCTATGAGTTTGTTCTTGGTATGAAGAAGATGTTTGGTGTGGAATAGAATAAGAAAATAGGCTTTAATTCTAGTTTTCTTTCCTTTCAGGGTCTTTTTTTTTTTCCTGGTTAGACACTTTGGTGTGTCTTCTGATTGTTATGTCAAAAGGGTATGTTTGTATTATAACAATAATAAAATAGACACTTTGATGTGTCTTTGCTCTACTTTAGTTCTCTCTTCCTTCCATTTTAAGATGTATATTTTTTTTTCTCAATCTAAAAATAGGAGCTGCTTCCCGTCGTAGCCCAGGGAAAAGGGCCTTGATTTGTAGATGAGTACGCACGGGCACCTTGATAGTGCGTGTGTAAAATGAAGATATCCCATTCATGTTCAAACTCAATGACATTTTGTTTTTCTAGTGAGAAAAACTTGGGTTTTGTGTGTTATTATGTTTTTTTAGCTGCTTGTTGATATTTGAATGGCTCAAAATCCTTTGATATAAAAAGTTCACAACAATTTGATAATTTGACTACAAAACCATATACAACAAAGCTCCCCCATATACTGTAGCGGGCTTATTGCAAATATAAAGAACACAAAACACAGGTTAAAACTTGAAACACAGAAAAAGCACAAGCTCAATTGCCCATCCATCTACTGATCAATCCCCCTCGCTTTCATGCGCTGCAGAAGCAAGTCATAGATCGCTTTCTGGTCAGAAAGAGACTTGGACACACTCTCCTTCTGCATGCACCTCTTTGCCCATGCATAATACTTTGGCTGCTCTGCCTCTATACTTCAGTTGCCAAGTTTCTCATACACATAAAACCAGCTATAGAACGGAATAAGCGCCACATCGACGAACCCGAGGGTCTCACCCCCAAAGTAAGGCTTGTCTCCAAGGTCCCCTTCCAACAATCCAATGCACTCAAGGAACTCTTTCTTTGCTGCTTCCTGTTCTTCTCCTTTGGTTGTCCATACCACCCTCCTCCCAATATCATACATCTGCATTTAACATCACCAAAAACCCGTTATCCATATTTCGAGATTTTCTCAATAATTCTTCAGAACTCCATACAATTGGCTGCGGATTCTCTATTCATATTTTTCATGTTGATAATATTGGATTTATGGTAAAAAAATTAGTAAGTTAGGAAAATTATACCTTCTTGTCAACGAAATCAGCCCAGAACCTGGCTTGGGCTCTAGGGTAAGGATCAGAGGGCAACAGAGGAGCCTTATCCTTCCAAACCTCATCAATGTACTCAAGGGCAACTAGGGACTCGGACACCGGTTTGCCATTGTGAATGAGAACCGGGATCTTCATGTGAACCGGGTTCGACTGGAGCAACAGTGCACTCTTGTTACTCAAGTCCTCCTCTTTGTACTCGTACTGAATGCCCTTCTCAGCCAGTGCAACTCTCAGCCTCATCCCAAATGGGCTTGGCCAGAAGTCCAACAACAACACCTCATCCGCCATTGAAGACTCAAATTTGAACTTGCTTAATTAAGATATGGAGCTGTGGATGGTGGTGATGTGTGTCAGTGTGAGTATTTATGGACAAACATTCAAAGCAGCAGCAATCAGATTATGTCATTGCATGCGTCGATATCTAATCTTTATTGTTTTTCTTTTCATTGAATACTGTTCCTAATAATATAATTGAGAAAGTAGGACTAACGTATGGATTTTATTAATCCATTTGTTTTTGTATTGTGTTTTTATTGTATGTGTTTCCATAAACTGAATAGTCATGGGGGAGCTGGAAGCCCTATAGGCTTCGCAGAAACAGTGTTTTTTGTTTGTTTTTGGCGAGGGATAATTCTCTGCAGGAAGGAAGTAGGATTAAAAATAACATTTTAACTAATCCCATTGAATTCTATAGCAATTTTTTTATGCAAATTTTATTAAAATTGGGGAGGAATTTATCGAAGTCCTGAAGCAGTTGGAAGGAGAGCTTGGAAACAAATTAACCTTACTTTGAGGGTGAGAGTTTTGGGTTCCTGGACATTTCCCTTATCACATTCTACAGCTTGGTTCTATGCATTTGAGACCTGTGGAAACTTCAGCATAGAGGCAGGGTGTCCCAAGCTGATTGCATGGGCCAAGAGGTGCATGCGGAAGGACAGTGTGCGCAAAACACTTCCTGACCATAAAAAGGTGTATGAGTTTGTTATTGGCATATTAATTATCACACAATGTTAATTAGAGAGTCGTGCAATTAAGTCTGTGTGCCAACAATGGCCGACGAGGAGGTTGTTGTTTTGGGGTTCTGGCCAATCACGTATGGGACGAGGGCAACGATAGCTCAGGACGAGAAGGGTGTCAAGTATGAGTACAGAGAGGAGGACTTGAGTAACAAGAGCTCACTGCTTCTGCAGATGAACCCGGTTCTCATCCACAACGGTAAACCGGTCTGTGAGTCACTCATCATTGTGCAGTATGTTGATGAGGTTTGGAGGGATAAAGCTCCTCTGCTTCCCTCTGATCCTTACCAGAGAGCTCGTGCCAGATTCTGGGCTGATTTAATTGATAAGAAGGTAGTAATTAACATATGCAACATGTTGCTGTCTGAGAGACAATACAGAACAACACTAATTTTCTTTGTGTATATTCTTCTTCTTTTATTTGGTGGAATTTTTTATTAAAAAGAAAAAGAAAACAATGAAGCAGCCAAGAAGGAATTTTCTCTTGATGATTCTTTTCTTTTAAATTTTTTGTATTTTTGGAAAATTGTAGGTATTTGATGCTGGGAAGAAACTATGGAGCACAAAAGGAGAAGAACATGAAGCAGCCAAGAAGAAGGAATTCAGCGAAATCCTTGCGCAATTGGAAGGAGAGCTTGGAGACAAGCCTTATTATCACCATAGGAGCAGAGGCAGACGCACGTTGGGACAAGAGGGGTCGGACGACCCCTTGTAAGGCTGGAAATTTGGCAAGGAACTCCATGAAAGTCCACTTGGACAGCTGCTGGAAGCCCCCTTGTATGCACACCATGTGCTCGACGAAAGTCCCAGGCGAGCTCTGCTGCGCATCCTTTTTTTTTTAAACGATCCTTGCCAAATGACGTCGTTTGGTCAAGGCTTAGTCAAATTTTTTTTAACTGACCTGGCCTCAAAACGACGTTGGTTTGGGCCAGATTAAAAAAAAAAAAAAAAAAAACCAAAACAAAACAGGAGCTCAACTGTTGTACAGATTACCTTATTTCCATCTTCCATCTTCAACATTTAAGTAAATGTCTTTATCCTTTTACTTTTATTTATTTTTATATTACTCCATTTACTTAAGTTTACAATGTAAATAAGGAAGTACCCTCAATTTGGATTCAAATAAAAATACTAGAAAATCAAATTCCCACCAAATCAAAATATGAAAATTCGGTTTTAGTGTAAAATACGATTTATGCTAAAAATGATGGCTCATTAAGTCAATATATACTTCATATTAAAATCCCATAAAATCAAGTTTTCTTATTTGATGTGTAAGGAATAAAAGCCGCCAAAAATTATCTTGAGAAAATAATTATTCCGAAAAAACCTTTTTTCATACTTAGTCAATATTGCACCTCCGCTAAAAAATTTATGGGTCCCCCAGTGCTTCCCTCTCAAATCCTAACTTCTCCCAACCTCCTAACCTCCGACAACCTCCATCAACTCTTCGCCGGTGGCCCATTGGCGATCACCACCACCATCTTGTGCGGCCCTTTTTTTTCAAGTACAAGAAAGCAGGTCAAAATTTAAATTAATAAATTTATAGTGATAATATATTGTTGATATTAATATTTTTTTTTATGTAATGAAATTTATGGATATGAATCATATTGATGGATAATTTAGATTGATTGAGTTTATGTTTGATTGTTGATTGAGTATATTAAATATTAAATGATATTTGATATGATAATTTGGTATATTGAATATTGATTTATATGGGTTCAAGAGTGTATATTGAATATTGAGAGTAGGTTATTGACATTTTCATATTCATATGATAATTTGGATAAAAATTAATGATTGATTCAATTAATTGATTTGTAGAATTATGGAATGATTCTATAAAAGAAAATTATCTATGGATAGTCATTCTCCGTCTAATCCGGGTAGTTCAAATGCAACAAGACCAATTGAAGTAGATGAGATATTAGCTAATCTTTACGCAAACCTTGGACTAAGGAGATCCGAAGAGCATATCTACGAAAGGGACCTTGTCAACCTAGAAGTTATAAATTCTCACAAACTAATCAATCATGAATTAATAGACGTTTCATTGCTTAATGGTTTGATGAGTATAATTGGTTGGAATATAGTATAGAAAAATTTCGAATGACGGATTAATAGGCTTTTTTAGCATTATTTTCTTTGTAAAAAAATTTCGGAACTTTTACACTAAGTCCTCTTGGCCATAGAATCCTGGATCCGCCACTGCTTAGGAGGTCCTGCAATCAAATGTTAGGCTGTGTTTCTTCTGTTTTTTCTTTTTCCTTTCAGCTCTGTTTTTCCAGTGAGAGATCCTTCGGTTTTGTGTGTCTAAATTATTTTTTTTTAGCTGCTTGTTGATATTTGAATGGCTCAAAATCCTTTGATATAAAAAGTTCACAACAATTTGATAATTTGACTACAAAACCATATACAACAAAGCTCCCCCGCCTTATTGCAAATATAAAGAACACAAAACACAGGTTGAAACTTGAGAGACAGAAAAATCACAAGCTCAAGTGCCCATGCATCTACTGATCAATCCCCCTCGCTTTCATGCGCTGCAGAAAGAAGTCATAGATCGCTTTCTGGTCAGCAAGAGACTTGGACACACTCTCCTTCTGCAAGCACCTCTTTGCCCATGCATAAAACTTTGGCTGCTCTGCCTCTATACTGAAGTTGCCAAATTTCTCATACACATAAAACCAGCTATAGAACGGAATAAGAGCCACATCAACGAACCCGAGGGTCTCACCCCCAAAGTAAGGCTTGTCTCCAAGCTTCTCTTCCAACAATCCAATGCACTCAAGGAACTCTTTCTTAGCTGCTTCCTGTTCTTCTCCTTTGGTTGACCGTAGCACCTTCCCAGTCTCATACACCTGCATTTAACATCACCAAAATTGCAGAAAATTTTATGGTTAAACAGGAGGTCAAAGACCCTTTATCCATATTTCGAGATTTTCAAAGTAATTCTTTAGAACTCCATGTAAAGGTTCTATACTAACATTTTTCATGTTGATATAGGATTTATGGTAAAAAATTAGTAAGTTAGTAAAATTATACCTTCTTGTCAACGAAGTCAGCCCAGAACCTGGCTTGGGCTCTAAGGTAAGGATCAGAGGGCAACAGAGGAGTTTTATCCTTCCAAACCTCATCAATGTACTCAAGGGCAACTAGGGACTCGGACACCGGTTTGCCATTGTGAATGAGAACCGGGATCTTCTTGTGAACCGGGTTCGACTGGAGCAACAGTGCACTCTTGTTACTCAAGTCCTCCTCTTTGTACTCGTACTGAATGCCCTTCTCAGCCAGTGCAACTCTCAGCCTCATCCCAAATGGGCTTGGCCAGAAGTCCAACAACAACACCTCATCCGCCATTGAAGACTCAAATTTGAACTTAGCTTAATTAAGATATGGAGCTGTGGATGGCGGTGATGTGTGTCAGTGTGAGTATTTATGGAAAAACATTCAAAGCAGCAGCAATCAGATTACGTCATTGCATGCGTTCGATATCTAATCTTTATTGTTTTCCTTTTCATTGAATACTGTTCCTAATAATATAATTGAGAAAGTAGGATTAATGTTTTATTATTTAATTTTTTTTTTTTTTTTTTTTTTTTTTTTTTTTTTTTTTCAAGGACCTCATCGGTTTTAGGTAGACGAACTTGAACACGCAACACAAATACTCAGGACCAAAAAATAAACTGAAAATATACATTTTTTAATGACTTTTTAGGCATATAAAATATTTGAAGGAGATAAGCGATAGCCTTTTTTTTTTGGGTCAAGGGAGGTGATATATATGGCTTCTTGAGCCACAGAAAATATCATAATGCCGTTGACAAGAAAACATTTAAATATCATAATGCAGTTGACAAGAAAACATTTTCGTAATAGAAGTTGACAACTTGATAATTTGACTACAAAGGCAAACCACCAAAAACATATGACCAGAGAGTTTGACGGAAACAAGTCCATTTGTTTTTGTATTGTCTTTTATTGTATGTGTTTCGATAAACTGAATAGTGAGGGGGGAAGCCCTGGAAGCTTCGCTATAAGCTCCAGAAACAGATTTTTTTTTTTTTTTTTTTTTTTTTTTTTTTTTTTTTGTGTGATAATTCTCTGCAGGAAGGAAGTAGGATTAAAAATAACATTTTAACTAATCCCATTGAATTCTCTAGCAATTTTTTAATGCAAATTTTCTTAAAATTGGGGAGGAATTTATCGAAGTCCTGAAGCAGTTTGGAAGGAGAGCTTGGAAACAAATTAACCTTACTTTGAGGGTGAGAGTTTTGGGTTTCTGGACATTTCCCTTATCACATTCTACAGCTTGTTTCTATGCATTTGAGACCTGTGGAAACTTCAGCATAGAGGCAGAATGTCCCAAGCTGATTGCATGGGCCAAGAGGTGCATGCAGAAGGACAGTGTGTGCAAAACACTTCCTGACCATAAAAAGGTGTATGAGTTTGTTATTGGCATGAAGAAGATGCTTGGTATGGAGTAGAAAAAGAAAACAGGGTTTTAGCATATTAATTATCACACCATGTTAATTAGAGAGTCTTGCAATGAAGTCTTAGGCTGTTCTAGTTTTCTTTCCTTTCAGCTTCAATTTTTTTTTTCCTGATGAGACACTTTGCTGTGTCTTCCGAATGTTATGTCAAAAGGGAATGTTTGTATTATAACAGTAATAAAATAGACACTTAGACGTGTCTTTGCTCTACTTTAGTTATTTTTTCCTTTCATTTTAAGATATATCTTGTTTTTTTTTTTCCTCAATCTAAAAAAAATAGGAGCCGCTTGCCAACCGGCGTCCGAAAAAGGACCTTGACTTACAGATAAATGTAAAAAACCCTCGTGACACCTTCGTAATGCGTGTGAAAAATCCTCTCGTTTATTAGTTTAGACTATCGCCTATTAAAATAAATAAATAGGATCTACTTTAAACACTCGAACCCCAAAAAGAAAAACTCTCATTGGATAGAAGCAAGGTGATCAGCAGCATAATCACTCTGGCAAATCGTGCAGCTCCAATATCTTGAAGATATTTATCTTTCAATATAAAACTTTTATGACAAGTGGATCCTCAAGACTTCGGCTTTACCATTGATAAAACTTATTTATTAGATAAATTATGACTAGCACTTAGTGCTATAGCGTCAACTTTTTAAAGATCACCTAAAATGCTAGCCCACAATCACATATGACGAAAGAAGTGACAACTTCTGGCACTATTGATCAAGTTTACAAATGTCAACGCTACATGCCAAAGCACACGCAGACACCTCATAGTTAACAGCCAAAACGATGTCGCATCATCCTTTTGTATTATATAAACGTTACACTTAAATTGCAGTCTTAGCAGTAGAAGTCAGTGCTGCATGCTTTTCTTGCTTGATGAGTCTTTGAGTTTAGCAACAAGCTAAGCTGCTACAACAAGAAGAAGTTTGTGTGTGTCGGAAATGGCGGACGATGAGGTTGTTGTTTTGGGATTCTGGCCAAGCATGTATGGGACGAGGGCAACGATAGCTCTGGACGAGAAGGGTGTCAAGTATGAGTACAGAGAGGAGGACTTGAGGAACAAGAGCTCACTGCTTCTGGAGATGAACCCGGTTCACAAGAAGATCCCGGTTCTCATCCACAACGGTAAACCAGTCTGTGAGTCACTCATCATTGTGCAATACATTGATGAGGTTTGGGAGGGTAAAGCTCCTTTGCTTCCCTCTGATCCTTACCAGAGAGCTCGGGCCAGGGTCTGGGCTGATTTCATTGATAAGAAGGTAATTGGTGAACTTGTTTTCTGTATAGTTTTCTATTTTCCCTTCTCCTTTTAAGTTGGTATCATATGTATATATTGTTTGCAATTTAATTTCATTTTGGATGTGATTTGGGTTTGCATGTGTTTTGGAATGTCATTCTCTTTTTGTGATCATACTGAAAAAAAAGAAAAAAAAGATGGACATATTTGAAATTGGTATGTTTTCACAAACCCAAAAAAGAAATTCAGAGCACATACATATAAAGCAGATCAATTTTGAGGTTAAGCCATTTTTGAAACAGGTTAATGTGCAACATATTGCTGTCTGAGACAACGAAGAACAACACCAATTTATTTTTGTATATTTCTCTTGTTTTCTTTTGGTGGAATTTTTTTATAAAAAGTGAAAACACTGAACAATCTACAATTTTTCTTTTGGAAAATTGTAGGTACCTGATGCTAGGAAGAAACTATGGAGCACAAAAGGAGAAGAACTTGAGGAAGCCAAGAAGGAATTCATCGACATCCTTAAGCAGTTGGAAGGAGAGCTTGGAGACAAGCCTTACTTTGGGGGTGAGAGCTTTGGGTTCTTGGACATTGCTCTCATCACATCCTACAACTGGTTTTATGCATTTGAGACCCTTGGAAACTTCAGCACAGAGGCAGAGTGCCCCAAGCTGATTGAATGGGCCAAGAGGTGCATGCACCGGGAGAGCGTTTCGAAATCTCTTGCCGACCCTAAAAAGGTGTATGAGTTTCTTCTTGGCTGGATAGCTGGATAGAATAGGCTGCTAGCCAGTCCTGCAATCAAATGTTATGTTGTTGTTCTCTTCTGGTTCATTTTCCTTTCAACTTTGTTTTTCCAGTGAGAGATCCTTTGGTTTTGTGTGTGTCTAAATTATGTTTTTTGGTTGATTGTTGATACTTGAATGGCTTAAACTTCTTTGCTATAACAAGTTCACAACAATTTGATAATTTGACTGCAAAACCAAACAAAAGGAGAGCATATGACAAGATCAGGCACAACAAAGTTGCCCTCTTTTATTGCAAATATAAAGAACCCAAAACTTGACACACAGAAAAACCACAAGCTCAAGTGTCCATGCATCTACTGATCAATCTCCCTCGCTTTCATGCGCTGCAGAAACAAGTCATAGATCGCTTTCTGGTCAGCAAGAGACTTAGACACACTCTCCTTCTGCATGCACCTCTTTGCCCATGCATAAAACTTTGGCTGCTCTGCCTCTATACTGAAGTTGTCAAGTTTCTCATACACATAAAACCAGCTATAGAACGGTATCCACATCGACGAACCCGAGGGTCTCACCCCCAAAGTAAGGCTTGTCTCCAAGCTTCTCTTCCAACAATCCAATGCACTCAAGGAACTCTTTCTTAGCTGCTTCCTGCTCTTCTCCTTTGGTTGTCCATGGCACCCTCCCAATCTCATACACCTGCATTTAACATCACCAAAATTGCAGAAAATTTTATGGTTAAACAGGAGGTCAAAGACCCTTTATCCATATTTCGAGATTTTCACAGTAATTCTTTAGAACTCCATCTAAAGGTTCTATACTAATATTTTTCATGTTGATATAGGATTTATGGTAAAAAATTAGTAAGTTAGTAAAATTATACCTTCTTGTCAACGAAGTCAGCCCAGAACCTGTCTTGGGCTCCAAGGTAAGGATCAGAGGGCAACTAAAGAGTTTTATCCTTCCAAACCTCATCAATGTACTCAAGGGCAACTAGGGACTCATGTTAGTGTTTTGGTATTCAGTCTGGGTTTTGCGAATTGGTCTGTTAGAGAAGAATGAAGGACTAGAGAATATTGTAAGAATGCTCTGCTTACTCACACAGTATGTGAGCAAACGTTTTGTATATTTCTATCTGTAAGAATGAGCTCATACGGCATGTACTACATGATCGTTAGCTCTTAGCTGGATTCACACAAGCCACAATGAATCTCAGCCATCCATCTATCTCAATTCTAGAATCACTACACATGACTATTTTGACCTCACACTTGGCAGATATGCTCAAGTGAATACACAAGTAAGATGAGTTTTTATTTGTGTACAAGTCTTAAAGACTCCATAAAATACACGTTTTTAAAAAAAGCAAACGTACAATACTCATATTGTACACGTACGTACGTATTTTTCATGTTTAATACACGTTTTTGTTACAAATTTTTCAAAAACACACACCAAATTCAAGTATTATACACATAATTTTCACATATAATTGAATAAAAATAACAACTATTAAAAAATTAAATAAATTATATTACAATGTTATATAGTGGCCGAACTTTTCAGTTGTAATTTGCCAAAAGTTTGCCGACTAAAATACGTATGTATTTTATTTGTATTTTTCCCGTTCCGTATTTTACAAACTATGAAAGAATGTGAGAGACTAATATTATTTTATTTCTTACTTGTTGTAAGAAAAATGCAAGTTCAATGATTTTGCAATCTCTTTTCTTTACCAAATCAATAATTTCAAACTAAGATTTATGGGTATAGTAGAAAGAGCGGTGATAGTATTCTTCATGTGAAGTGTTGTTTGGAAAGTGAAGCAATTACCAAGAGCACTCCAACTCAACATGCAATTATCTACAAAAAATAAGGTGTGAAGTAACATAATTATAAAAAGCACTTGAGAGAACGAGGTAGATCAAATGCAAACATTCCCACACAAAAAAAAAGAAAAAAAAAGAACTCTCAAATTGATTTACTTTGAAATTTCTCTCTCTTAAATCTATATGTTTTGGATATATTGAAACTAGGGAATTAATATCTATAAAGTATAAACTAATTCAAATAAGAGGGTCCTTTCTTTAATTCTTTTTTAATAAATAGTAAAGCCGAGCGGATATACTACGCATAGCACTCAAAACACTTTGGAGTGGGGGATATTTAACTATGATCACAATTATGTATCCCAAACCAAAGTATAAGCACATAGCAAGAACATCCTCTCAGACAAAGCCATATGGACACAACTGACAAAAGGGATCAGGGAAATTAGTAATTGCTTGTATATATGGCTTCCACCTATACAAAATCACACTATTTCCCTGCATTGTGCAAGGCCACATGGTAAACTCACTTTGCCTGCTTGCTTAGTCACAAAGCAGAACACCTTTGTTAAAAAAAAATAACTTCAGTATTAAAACTCTACCTCTACCATTATTTTCAAATATGATAAAACCTAAGTATATCCTTGGCTAGCCTAGCCTAATATTATACCTTTCCGTATATGGTTTGCATGACAGGGCTCTACTGCATGATCAGACAGGCTGCAAATTTCATTAAGCCAAAGCAATCGTAGGGCAACTCTTCTTTGGCAGGTCAATTAAAGTGATTGTACATTTGTAGCTGCATTAGTCACCAGTGCCTGCCAAGAAAGAGGAGCCCTATGACTGCTTTGCTTACTTGACAAGTATACTTCTTCTACTATGTATAGCTTCTTCAAGTATACTTTTTCAATGATGGCCCGGCACAGGTTATATAAGGGCTCAAAGACTCCAAGAGATGGAATAAACCAGTAAGCACAAATGGCATATCCTAAGGATTATGCTGTGAACATCCATCAAGGGCTGCTTTTCAAGGATTTTGTTGGGGCCAGGGCTCATTCTGCTGCTAGATTCTTCTCCTCCTTATCCGAGCCTTGAAAGCGCTCTTTCCTAGCATATGAGATTCTTCCACTCTCTGTGTCCATGAAAATGTGCAATGAAGTTGAAGCGGGAAAAAAGTAGATGAAAGGAGTTGCCTCCCCATATTATTATAAGGGGCTGAGAAAGAAGGACTAACAGCATATCCTAATCTTATTCGTCTTCTTTTCTTTTTTGCCTACTTGTGTATATTAGTAATTTCTGTCTTGAATACAAAAGAGTCTCACTTTTATAGTGAGCCATCATTATAGGATCTCCAAATTAGTTTGACTATAGTTAATCTGCTGCACCTTCAGTCCTTCTGTGGGTATCTCTCTCTAACCATGCCATGATTGTGCGCAATGCCTCATTCGTTAATTTGGTAATCATTTTTCAAATCTTTCTTTTGCGAACAATGAACAAAAAAATCATCACAACTAAAGAAAAATAAGGCCTGCCTGAAGGACTTCATGAAGTTAGAGCAGCCCATGTGATCAAAAGTTCTGAAAGTGCTTGCAGTTGTGTTGTGTCATCCTCACCTCCTTACTAGTTTCCTTCCTAATTACGCTCTTAACAAAATAAACAAAAACTAACCAATTATTTTTAGAGCTAATTTAGTTTTATTAGTAAGGCGTATATTCAATCACAGGAAGGCTAATCTAGTCAAGCTGAGTACAGAAAGTTTTGCTTGAACCATACCAGATCTGATCAATTCAACACCAAATGTGATGATAGGTAAATAAACATGACATCAACTATATAGATTTTAAAATTTTAGGTTCCAATCTCTACAATATTAATCAAATGTCTCAGAGACATATATTCCAACAATCACTAATTGACTTTATGTTTGGGAAACATAAGTGACCAGATCAATTTTTCTTTTTTGATCCATGGACTAATCTGTCATGCAGAATCCTTTGCCCCATGTACCTGCACCACATGCACAACAAACGAAACCAAAATGCAGGTTTAAGCAGCAATTAGTATAAGATTTTCGTGAAGATTATGTATATATGACAGTAGCTTGAGGATTAGCACCCGGGGTGTGATAAAACGTTGAACCATCAATAACCCTCAGAGAATCAATACCAAGAACTCCATATCCTTTATCAACAACCCTCCCAACTTGACACCCTCCATGATAGTGCCATATGGTCTGTTGGAAATTTTGGAAATAACATATATTATTAAAGCCTTAAATTTTGGAAATTTTGCAAAATACATACGGTTTAGGAAATTCTTGCAATGAATCTGGATGGGAATTCTGAATTTCCACAAACATCATACCTTTGGTGCAAATAAACTATCAGATAGAAAATAAACAATAACAAAAAAGGAATCTTGGGTGGGAATCACAGACAACGATTGCAAAAAATGGGCCGCCCAGCGCCTAGGCCGATTTTTCCAACACTGTTTAAAACCCCTACAAACTATTTCACTTGTTCTCAAATGATCCATAACTCTAATTAACGAGAACAAAATGACATACATATGGGAATCATAGACAACGATTGTGAAAAATCGGCCGCCGAGCGCCTAGCCGCCTAGGCAGATTTTTCCAACACTGTTTAAAACTCCCACAAACTATTTCAGTTGCTCTCAAATGATCCATAACTCTAATTAACAAGCACAAAATGACATACATATGGGAATCACAGACAACGATTGCGAAAAATCGGCCGCCGAGCGCCTAGGCGGCCGCCTAGCCTGATTTTTTTCCAACACTGTTCAAAATTCCCACAAACTATTTCAGTTGTTCTCAGATGATCCATAACTCTAATTACCAAGCACAAAATGACATATATGTACATACATGCATAGTTCGAGTATGAAATTACCAAAATGGCATCGATGTCATCCTCAGGTGAGAGCTTCTGGTCTCTCTGCGAGCTCTCTTTTCCTCAGCTTTCGTTGCTTTCTCTTTGCCTTTTCCTGGCTTTTTCGTCATCTGCGTCTTCTTCCCCATGTCTGGGAACACTGCCAAAGAGGCCCAGACTCGGCGCGAGGAAGAAGAGAGAGTTATCTAGACAACACGATTTTTATTATTTAAAAATAGTATAGCCTCGCGGCTATACTATTTGTGACGCGTGGTGGAATGTGAGCTAGCGCCAGGCGGGTCCTTTTTGTTTTATGAACAGTATAGCCGTCCGGCTATACTCGGTTTTTGTTTTTGATAAAAAAAGTAAAGCCGCCGCGGCTATACATAATTTTGAGTGGTTTATTCTTCTTTCTAGGATGGTATTTATGTGTACAAGTATACAACAAAAGGAAAGTAATTACAATCCCATCTAATACGAGAATCCTATAATTATACACGATTACAATTCCTAATTTAAATCAATTAAATGTTTTATGCCAACATTCTCTCTTCAAATGTACATGTGAAAACAAAATAAAAATAAAGCTATTTTGAGACTTTCTAATAACATAAACTTCTTGCTTAAGTCTGATTACCTTGCCATAGTATGCAAAGTTTTTTTTGAGGATGTACTCAACATTTGCAGGATCTGTGGTGATAACATAATTTATGAACAAGTTAAGTGCCCTATAAGTTTTGTGTTTGTATCCAAACTCTCAGTCATATAATCGTGCAGCCCAAAGAAGTTCATTAGAGCATCTCCAGCGCTGACGGGCTAGGGGGGAAAGGCTGCCCTAGGCAGCCCGAGTTCACTCCAGCGCAGGGCCCGTAGCCCAGGTTGATGGCGGGTCCCACGAGCCCGAGGAAGCCCAAGGGCAAATCTTGCCCGGGCTGAAGCCCGAGTTGGTGACGTCAGCGCTGGCGTCACGCTGACGCCAGCGCACGGTCATTCAAATTTTTTTTACCGTTGGCGCGTGATTACACGCGCCAACGGTAAAAAAAATTTGAATGACCGTGCGCTGGCGTCAGCGTGACGCCAGCGCTGACGTCACCACTGACAGCTCCAACGGGCGGGCGCCACGTGGCGCGACGGGGACTCTCCGATGGAATTTTTCCAGAAATCCGACGGTCCTCGTTTTTTTGGCTAAAAAAATTGCAAAAAAAATCGAAAAAAATCGAAAAAAATCTGAAATTTTTTTAAAAAAATACCCAAAAATTCTGTATTTTTTCTCTATAAATACCTAACCATTTTATTTACTTTCCACACTAAAATCTTCATACAATTCCTTCTCCATCCCATCTTTTTTACTCTTTACTCACATTATTCACTTTCCACACCAATTCTTCATACAAACTTTTCTCCTTCCAATTTTTTTGTTCATCTCCACTCACATTTTTCACTTCCACACCAATTCTCCATACAAACTCTTCTCCTTCCAATATTTTTTACTCTCTTTCTACTACTTTCCATTTGTATAAAAAAAAACAAATGGCATCTTCTATTGAAGTCGGAGGCTCGTGGTCAACGAATGAAGATATTGCATTGTGTCAATCTTGGGTGAACATTAGTCATGACCCTATCACGGGTAATGAAATGAAGTTTCATCACATGTGGAGCAAAATTCATGGAGAATTTTGTCAAAGATCGGGTTCGATTCGGACCGAAATGGCGTTGTCTAGTAGATGGAAACTTCTTAATAAAGAGTTAGGGAAATGGAGGAATGCCTTGACAAAAGCAAAGGCGAACATTCAAAGCGGTCAAAATTTGACCGATGAGGTAAAATATTTATAATTGCCATTTTAATCAATTCAATGTCACTTTTAATTTTTGACACGTGGCACAATTTAAAAGGAATTTTCTTTGAATAATTTTTATTAAAATCTAAAATACTAAAAATTAACTACGAAACTTTAAATGCCGTTTTGGAAGGCCAAACGACCTCAAAATGCCAAAATCCATCATACGTCACAGCAACGCTGTGAGTTTGACTCGTGGCGTCGTTCCCTTTCCGAAATGGTATTTTGCGTCCTAATCGGAGCTCGGACGACAAATCTGCAAATTCCCACTACGTCCTTTTTCTAGCTCAAGCGATAAAATCTGACATTTGTTCTACATCAGACGTGGCACAATTTTAGAGGGTGAAAATCTTATCCGAAAATTTAATTACAAAAGATTATCAACATTAATGATTTAAACTATAAAAAAATAGAAAATAAAGTACAATGAATAGTAATTGCCTTAGACTTGCCCTAGACTTTGCCCTTGTGGGTGGAGCCACAAATGCAAAGGCTGACACTATTCACGTGAATAGTGGCAGCCCTTGCTTGCCCTTGCCCTAGACTTTGCCCTTGTGGGTGGAGATGCTCTTAGAGTGTTTAAGAAGTTTGTGACAACAGGATGGTATCTCTTTTTGCTCTCAGTACCCAATCTTCTAGCATGGGACTGATCATAATTGTAGCTAAAATTACTGCTAAACTTATTGCTATGGGAGGTATCGGAGTGGAAAGAAAATCCATGACACTGAAGACAAAGTCGAGCACAGAGTGAATATTAGAGCATACCTCGAGGAATTTCTTCCAGCAAGTGAATTCATTCCATAAGGGTGCTTGCTTGATGACGGTGCTTAACTTCTCATATGAAACATTTCATTGAAAACAAGTAGACACCTGCCTTTCCTCATGAAAACTACACCCTAACTGTCTTTTCATGATTCTCATTAGAGTGATTCTATAAAGCGCATGCGCCTTTCTGTCTAGATATCGTTATTCAACTGATACAAGACCAATAATACTTCCTCCATTACAATTTACATCTGGTGATCCTCTCACAGAGAATTCAAGAAGATCCCCATCGATTTCAATCATGCTACAGCCCGGGACCTCCTTTTTTATCCCTGTTTCTTTCATTAAGGATTTGATTCTCTTTACGTCATCAACTCTACTAGCTTTGACATATACAATTAGACCTCTTGACTTGACCCATCAAAGATATGGTCTCAAGATATGGTAGAAGATATACTTGAACAGAGGAAGCTATCATACATAAAAATTCCACGTGTAATGCAAGTTGCAAAAGCAAAAGCAAGAAGTAGGTGGAAAGCTTTGGTCGGAAAACACAACACTTTTAGAGCATCTCCACCCACAAGGGCTAAGTCTAGGGCAAGGGCAAGCAAGGGCTGCCACTATTCACGTGAATAGTGTCAGCCTTTGCATTTGTGGTTCCACCCATGAGGGCAAAGTCTAGGGCAAGTCTAAGGCAATTACTATTCATTGTACTTTATTTCCTATTTTTTTATACTTTAAACCATTAATTTTGATAAGCTTTTTAGATTATATTTTCGGTTGTCACGTATCACTATTTATATTTTGGATGAAGATTTGGTGTGGAAAGTGAATAAAATTGTTAGGTATTTATAGGGAAAACATCCAGAATTTTTTGGTATTTTTTTAAAAAAAATTTGAATTTTTTTGCAATTTTTTATGCCATTTGTTTTTTTTTATACAAATGGAAAGTAGTAGAAAAATGTGAGGGAAAAAATAAAATGGTTATGTATTTATAGGGAAAAAATACAGAATTTTTTGGTTTTTTTTTAAAAAAAATTCAGAATTTTTTCGATTTTTTTTGCAATTTTTTTAGCCAAAAAAACGAGGACTGTCGGATTGTTGGAAAAAAAAAGGATCGAAGAGTCAGGGTTGCGACACGTGGCACAGTACCGTGCGATGATGTCACTCTGACGTCATCGAACTCGGGCTGAAGCCCAGTGGAAACTTGCCCTTGGGCTTGCCCGGGCTGGTGGGACCCAGGGCTTGCCCGGGCTGGAAGTGCAGCGCTGGAGCTGTTTTGGGCTATCTGGGGGGGCCTTTTGCCCGACTCTGTGCCTGCGGTGGAGGTGCTCTTAAGAGGCAAGTAAGGGCAAACATTATTCACATAGTGACTACTCTAGCAATTTTCTTGATGTATTTCAATCTATTGTCATGGCAACCCAAGGGCAATCACTATTTATATGAGATATGAGGAGACGAATTTGTATGGATTTTGGCGTGGAAAGTGAAGAACATAGCTAGGTATTTATAGAAAAAAAAAATCCAAATTGGTTTTTTTATATTAATTTTTGTGATATTTAAATTAATCGCTGATGCCATGCTAACGTCAGTAAATCTTGCCTTCGGGCTGCTCTTAAGCAAAACAACATACAGCTTGCCCCGTGACACACCCACCCAAATTCGGCCGCCCACGACATTTTTTCAACACATGCAAACAAATCAAACACCTTAATATATTTATTTGCTCTCAGTCAAGCTAGACAGAGCTTGAAGAAGAAGAAGCTTGTTTTGTGTATCAGTCAACAATGGGGGATGAGGTTGTTCTTTTGGACTTCTGGGCAAGCATGTTTGCAACGAGGGTGAGAGTGGCGCTGGCTGAGAAGGGTGTCAAGTATGAGAACAGAGAGGAGGACTTGTGGAACAAGAGTTCATTGCTTCTGCAGATGAACCCGGTTCACAAGAAGATCCCAGTTCTCATCCACAACGGTAAACCGATCTGTGAGTCTCTGATCATTGTGCAGTATGTTGATGAGGTTTGGAGGGACAAAGCTCCTCTGCTTCCCTCTGATCCTTACCAGAGAGCTCGGTCAAGGTTCTGGGCTGACTTCATTGATAAGAAGGTAATTAGCTTGTCTAAGTTGTCTCTTGCCTTTTTTCTATATATAAAGCTGCTACATATATATATATATATATATATATATACTGATTGCAATTCAACTCCAGAAAAATTATAGAAAATTTAGAAAATTTGAAGTTTTCCCGGGTTAAAATTTGCTTATATTAGACCAAATTGAAAGGATTTACATAAATGAGAAACTGTTTTTTCATGGGAGTTTCAACGGGTCACTCTGTTCCACGGCAGACCTTGAAACTATGGTATGCTCAATTACAACATGATCTTGCTTGCTATCCGGGAAGATTGTCTAAAAAATAAAACGAGTCCATTTTTTTAAAATATCTTATTAATTCTGCGTGTCTGGATAAATGAGTGGAATTTTTTGAAAATAGAAACTGATTAGTGTTAGAGGAGCAACCAGCCTACAACCTTGGCAAAAACAGAGTTTTAATTTCAAGTGGTGCAACAGAAATTTCTGTTGGAATGGGGACTAGAAAAAACAGTTTAATCCAATTGAATAATTTCTAGGAGTTTATTTTGATGTAATGTTTGCAAAAATTGCAGCTATACGTTGCTTCGAGGAAAATATGGGGCACAAAAGGAGAGGAACAAGAGGCAGGCAAGAAGGAATTCATTGAAGCCCTTAAGCGGTTGGAAGGAGAGCTTGGAGACAAGCCTTATTTTGAGGGTGAGAGCTTTGGGTTCTTGGACATTGCTCTTATCTCATTCTACAGCTGGTTCTATGCATATGAGACTTTTGGAAACTTCAGCACAGAGGCAGAGTGCCCCAAGCTGATTGAATGGGCCAAGAGGTGCATGCACCGGGAGAGCGTGTCGAAATCTCTTGCCGACCCAAAAAAGGTGTATGAGTCTGTCACTAGTTGGGTAGGATTATAGAACAGACTGCTAGCCAGCAGCAGACTATCACCATGATCACCATGTTAGCAAGTCCTGCAATCAAATGTTTGGCTGTTCTTCTGGATCTTTTTCCTTTCAGCTTTGTTTTTCGGGATATTTGCCATTGACAATAGTAATGCAGATACTCTGATGTGTTTGCCTATTGTTATGAATAAAGTGTTCATATGTAGAAAGGGTGTTTCTGAGTAGCATTTTTTTGGCTGCTTGTTGAGCTTTGTCATAACAAGTTCACAACAATTTGATAATTTGACTACAAAACATATATGACCAGAGGCACAACAAAGTGCCTCGCAAAGTAGAAGGGGCTTGGCCAAGTGCCCTTTTATTCTAATTTCAAAACAACTCAAAACAGAGGTTAGAAACTTCAAACACAGAAAGTATATGGATGATCAAGTCCATGCTTTTTACCACCTACTCCATTCCAAGTTTACTCCGAAGGCGCAGGGCGAATTCATAGACCCTTTTCTGGTCATGAAGAGACTTGGACACACTCTCCTTCTGCATGCACCTCTTTGTCCATGCAATAAACTTTGGGTGCTTTGCCTCCACACTGAAGTTTCCAAATTTCTCGCGCACATAAAACCAGCTATAGGTAGGAATAAGTGCCACTTCCACGAATCCGAGGTTCTCACGCCCAAGGTAAGGCTTGTCTCCAAGCTCTTCTTCTAACAACCTTGTGCACTCAAGGAATTCCCTCTTTACCAAACACAGTAGTTTAAACTGTCACATTCTTAGAAAAGCTAATCAAATTTAGTAATTAATTGAAGTATATGAATTTTTGCTTAACATAATGGGTAACACATTTTTGCTTAAATGTTTTACACGTTCTCTTTTTCAGAAAACTGATACTAGGAGAGGATGAATTGAAGTGAATACTCTCTTTTAAATAAAACTGATACTAGGAGAGGATGAATTGAAATGAATGCTCTGAACCGGCTGAGCTACAAAGCACAGAGAATCAATAAGCTATTTTCCTCCAAGAACCTAACAAGTCACCATGTTAAGGATGTGGAGGAAGTAAGTGAATCAGTCATAGCTTCTTGAGCCTGCACAGGACATATCATAAATGTAGCTCCAGGGATTGGGTGTGGAATTTGTAAGGCAGATTGATGGCAATGGCCAAGCAGCTGCATGAGCAGTGTTTGCAGCAAGTGAATAAGAAATTTGTAGAAGCAAACCAGCCCACTGAATAAGACATTTGATCATGTAAAATTTCCTTACTGCAACAAGAAGTCAACAACAATATGATAATTTGACTGCAAAAGCAATTGAAAAAGAAACATACTGTAGAGGACTTGGTCAAGTGCCCTTTTATTCTAATCTTAAAGAAACGAAAACAAGTTCAAACTTGAAAGACAGAACAAGCACATGATCTAACAAACTTGCTTCCTCCCATTTACTCTGTTCCAAGCTTTTTACTAATTTCCAAAACGAGGTCATAGACCTTTTGCTGGTCAGGAACAGACTTGGACACGCTCTCCTTCTCCAGGCACCTCTTAGCCCATACAATAAACTTTGGGTGCTCTGCCTCCACACTGAAGTTGCCAAACTTCTCATAGACAGAAAACCAGGTATAAAAAGGAATGAGCGCCACGTCCACCAATCCGAAAGTCTTACCCCCAAAGTAAGGCTTGTCTCCAAGCTCACCTTCTAGCACACTAATGCACTCAAGGAACTCCTTCTTTGCAGCATCCTGTTCTTCTCCTTTAGTTGTCCACACCTTTTTCCCAATCTCATAAATCTGCATTTCACATCACCAGAATTGCAGAAAGCTTAAAGGGTTAATAGGAATGTCAATATCAAAACCAGATAATCCAATTTCAAACTTTCTTCTGGTTTTGCATTAATCCCATCTTTTCAATTGTTTCAATCCCACGACCCAAAACTCAAAAACAAAAAATTGTTTCACTTCCAACACATTCCGAATGCAAATCAGTATATTAGAAAAAGTTACCTTCTTGTCAACGTAGTCAGCCCAGAACCTGGCATGGGCTCGGAGGTGAGGATCAGAAGGCAGCAGAGGAGCCTTATCCTTCCAAACCTCATCAATGTACTGAACCGCAATGAGGGACTCAGAGACCGCTTTGCCATTGTGAATAAGCACCGGGATCTGCTTGTGAACCGGGTTTGACTGGAGCAAGAGTGGGCTCTTGTTACTCAAGTCCTCGTCTTTGTACTCATACTGAACGCCCTTCTCAGCCAGAGCAATTCTCACCCTCATCCCAAAAGGGCTGGGCCAGAAATCCAACAAAACCACCTGATCCGCCATTAAAGATTGAAGCTTTTGAATTGGTTGATGGAAAATTTTTTAGAGGGTTACAAAACTTCAGCTTAGATATGAAGCTGTGTGGCTGTGATGTTAGAGTGAGTCTCAATGCGAGTATTTATGGACAAAAAATCTAGGCAGAAGAAGTAGTCAAACGACCGCAAATGGAGATTCCTAGGCACGGCAGGGCAGATAGAGATGTTAGAATATCTCTGTCTTTTTGTACTTGATACTTATTCTAGATTCTTCCAATCAGACGGCATTATGTCACGGCTTTCGATATCAAAATCTTGAATTTCTTTTTTAATTTTAAAAAAATGTTGATTGTTTTATATGGTTTTAAAAAATTTAGGTGGAATGCAGATATTTCCACTGTAAAGCAAAGTTTTCCCATTATCGTTCTCTCATCTCACCCGAGGAAGGGAGGGGAGGGAGTGGGTAAATCAATTAGTATATTATAAGGAGAACTTTTATTGTAGCATTGTTCTCAAATAGACTCACTATATTGATATTTTCACTATTGTTAAATATAGTATTAGAGCTCGTTTGAGAGTGATTTTAGAAAGACCAGAATCACTTATTAGGAGAAACACGTTCTACATGCTTCTTTATACAATCACTTAAAATATGACATAATTATTGTCGATATTGTCGATTGCTGTAGTTTTGAGTCATTTAAATTTTCATCAAATGGTGAATGGAAATACCCTCACTCATAATATATACCCAATCAATTTTAGATAGACCAACTTGAACACTTAACACAAAAGCTAGAGACACCAAAAATAGATTAAAACATAATAACAAACAGTTTGTTAAATAGTTTTCAGATTTTTCAGTATTAAAAGTTTAGTTTATTTTATTTTATTTAAAGAAATTTATATCCTAAAAAGGTCTTGGTAGTTAAAAGTTTAGGGCTCTTAGTTCAATAATATAGTCTTAACCTAACATAAATAAAGTATCATATTCTCTCAAGACTGTTGATATTGTCAATTCGCTACACTAATAGTCATGTTTAAGAGCTTTAAAAAAAAATATATATCATATGCTGCTGCATCAAAGTGTTGGAGATATAGAGAGAAGATTAACTTATGGTTGAGGTGGGTTTAAAGAAGAGGGTGAATAGAGAGTAAGATACGTTTCTAATAAGTTATTTTAGTCATTTTATATAAGAGTAAACTTTGTCATTAAAATTTTCGTTTAAATGGTATATGGGAATATCATCACTCAAAACCTAATCAATTTTAAATAGACGAACTTGAACACGGAACACGAAAGCTCTAGACAAGAAAAATAGATTAAAACATACTTTTTTTAATTGACTTATAGGCAGAAATGATACATGAACTCTAGAGTTGTTGAATTTAGTCACCAAATACATTTAACAAATAATGTGTTCGTAGGCAATACTTGAATTGAATGGTTTAAATAAGACCGGGGCCAAATATACCAAAAATTCAAAGACAGAAATGGACAAAAAATATATTTTTCTTCCTTTTTGTATGTATTCCAGATTCTTCCAATCAGATAGCATGACGTCACTGCTTTCGATAGCAAATCTTGAATTTCTTTTTCCTTTATCTAAGGTTCGAGACGAGGAAAATAAATTAAATGTATACCTTTTACTTTTAAACTTGAATATTTATGAAGCCCTTAAGCAGTTGGAAGGAGAGCTTGGAGACGAGCCCTATTTTGAGGGTGAGAGCTTTGGGTTCTTGGACATTGCTCTTATCCCATTCTACAGCTGGTTCTATGCATATGAGACTTGTGGAAACTTCAGCACAGAGGCAGTGTGCCCCAAGCTGATTGAATGGGCCAAGGGGTGCATGCAGCGGGAGAGCGTGTCGAAATCTCTTGCCGACCCGAAAAAGGTGTACGAGTCTCTTGTTAATTGGGTATAGAACAGGCTGCTAGCCAGCAGCAGACTATCAACACGGTCACTATGTTAGCAAATCCTGCAATCATAGATTCATATGTTAGGCTGTTCTTCTGGATCTTTTTCCTTTCAGCTTTGTTTTTCCAGTCAATAATGAATTGCCGTCGTCGTCAACAGTAATGCAGACACTTTGATGTGTTTGCCTATTGTTATGAATAAAGTGTTCACATGTAGAAAGCGTGTTTTTGAGTTGCATTTTTTTGGCTGCTTGTTGAGTTTTGTCATAACAAGTTCACAACAATTTGATAATTTGACTACAAAACACATATTGTTGGAAATCAAATCTTGTAATTGAAGGATTGTAAATATTGTAATTGTCTTTCCTATATTAGACCTCAAGGTTTATGGGTCAAACCCAGATTGTAGCCTTAATGAGGAATTATGCTAGAATAGGAGATTGTAAACATAGTATATAAAGGATAGTATTATGTACAGCATGATATCAATAACATAACGATTATTCCATCTCTTTTATTCTTTACACATATGACCAGAGACACAACAAAGTGCCTCCACAAAGTAGAGGGGGCTTGGCAACTTGGCCAACTGCCCTTTTATTCTAATTTCAAAGCAACCCTAAACAGAGGGTGAAACTTTAAAAACACAGAACAAGTACATGGATGGTATCTTATTTATGCCCATGCTTTTTCCCATCTACTCCAATCCAAGTTTACTCCGAAGGCGCAGGGCGAATTCGTAGACCCTTTTCTGCTCAGGAAGAGACTTGGACACACTCTCCTTCTGCATGCACCTCTTTGCCCATGCAATAAACTTTGGGTGCTTTGCCTCCACACTGAAGTTTCCAAATTTCTCGCGCACATAAAACCAGCTATAGGTAGGAATAAGTGCCACGTCCACGAATCCGAGATTCTCACCCCCAAAGTAAGGCTTGTCTCCAAGCTCTTCTTCTAACAACCTTATGCACTCAAGGAATTCCCTCTTTGCTGCTTCTTGTTCTTCTCCTTTGGTTCTCCATGTCCTCTTTGCACTCTCAAATACCTGCGTTTCACACCTCAAGCGAACCATAAAAACTACGTATAATTGGATCAATTATATTTTAAACCTATGTAATCTATATATATAAAACAAAAGGCAGAGAATGATGAAACATTCAAAATACCATAAAATTCCATTAGTTAATCCAATATTAAGAATTAAAATTATTAATTAAATGAGGATAATATGGTAAATTCACACTTTTTCATATTAAAAATTTTTAAATTAAAAGAAAAATAAGATATTGAATCCTATTTTTATGAAATACAACTACCAATTATCTTTTTTAATTCTAAAATAAATTATAAAAATATTTATATAAAAAAGCCTCTCGCAGGCACGAAAGCACGTGCAGAGAGGCTAGTTATTTATAATGTCACAGTTATATAACTTGGCGTTTTTCGGTTGGAGTGGATTTTTACACATATTATGTTGCAATGAACAGTTCAGATTGATTGTGTGGGGCACCCAATAGAGATGTTATTAACTTACTAACTAATTAGCGCTTATTGCACAAGCATTAGTAATATTACCTTCTTGTCAACGAAGTCAGCCCAGAACATGGCTTGGGCTCTAAGGTAAGGATCAGAGGGCAAAAGAGGAGCCTTATCCTTCCAAACCTCGTCGATGTACTGAACCGCAATGAGAGATTCGGAGACCGGTTTGCCATTGTGAATGAGAACTGGGATCTTCTTGTGAACCGGGTTCATCTGCAGCAAGAGTGAGCTCTTGTTGGTCAAGTAGTCCTCTTCCCTGGACTCGTACTGAATGCCCTTCTCAGCCAGAGCGATTCTCACCCTCATCCCATAAGGGCTGGCCCAGTAGTGCAACAACACCACCTCATCCGCCATTGACAGATTTGAATTGCTTGATACAAAGTTACAGGGGTTACAAATATAATGAATGAAATAGTAAAAGCTTTTATTCTCCTTGATGACAACTGGGGACCTCTGAGCCCATATATATACAAAAAATGGTGACTGCAGGATATTATTTCCTCCACAAGTACAATATCTCCACTCAATTTTTTTGTTTCTTTTTAATAAACTGCTGAGTTTTCAAGAATGAAACTACATGCTTTTTGACGCTCTGCGGTGTGTTGTCTTTCTCCGTGAGTTCGTGAGTTGACTGTGAGGTTATTAGTTGAAATTTATAGAAAATGACAGAAACATAATTGTCAATACAAATTAAAGAGGCCCCAAAGCACTTGCAGAGGCCCATTGACTTCAAATTTAAAAAAAAAATTAAAACAAGTTGACTAAGCCCAAAACAGAACTAGCCTATTTATTATGTCCTTAATATTTTCTATTTTATTGAATATAGACAAATTTTTCTTATAATAAGTGAATTAGTAAGACTCTACATAGCATTTGACAAGTTGATTAGTGGAATATGTCCTAAACGGAAATAGTTGTATACAAATAGACATCTTGACTTGACCCATTAAACATATGGCCTAAAATATGGTAGAAGATATACTTGAACAGAAGAACCCTATCATACACAAAAATTCCACACATAGTGCTAAGTTGCAAAAGCGAAAGCAAGAAGTAGACAGAAAACTTTTATTAGAATTGGAGAAAACAACACCTTTGTGCCATGACAAAGAGCAAGTAAGGGCAAATACTATTCACGTGAATAGTGACTATCCTAATAATTTTTTTATGCATTCCCATCCATTGTTAGATATGAGGAGAGGAATTTGTATGGATTTTGATGTGGGAAGCGAAGAACATGGCTAGATATGAGGAGCGACTATCCTGATTTTTTTTCATTTTTATTTTTATTTTTTTGGTATATATCCTAAACGGAAATGGTTGTATACATATAATAGACCAGTTGACTTGACCCATCAAAAATATGGTAGAAGATATACTTGAACGGAGGAAGCCTATCATACACAAAAATTCCA